CCCCCCCCCATTTTAGAAACGGGGTCTTGGTCTTACTCAGGCTGGTCTCAAACTTGTGAGCTTGGGCAATCCACTCACCTCGGCCTCCCAGAGTGCTAGAATTACAGGCATGAGCTACCGTGCCTGGCTGATACAATTTATATTTTTAAAGAACAGAATCTCAAAGATTGCTCTGTTTGTTAAATTTTGCTTGTCATCTTGCAGATCAAAGAAAAAGCATGAATTCCAAAGTAATCTGCAAGATCATTTACCAGGCATCTGGGGAGTTCATTGTCAGGAGATAAAATGGAAATTAGTTAAGATAGTGCTGTGTTCAGTAGGCAGTAGCATGCTTTGATTTTAACCACTTACGTTGGAAAGCTCCCCCAAATTCATTTATTCTTTTATTCAGAGAAATGCATATTGGGTGCCTGCTGTTTCCCAGGCTGTGTACTAGATGCTGGGACACAAGAGTGTGCCAGGCAGGTCCCTGCCTGTCTAAAGGCTGACATCCTAGTGGGGAAGGTGGCTAATGCAGAAGTGATCACAGATCAGGATGTATGGGGATTAGCAAGAGCAGAGGCTTGGGGTCAGGGAAGGACTGGGGCTCAGAGTGTTCAGGAAAAGCCAGGAGCACAGTGTGGTTTAAAATAGGCTGAGCGGAGGGGAGGATGGTAGGAGATGAGTCACAGGGGTGGGCAGGAGTTTGGTTTTTATTTGAAAATCAGGAAGAATTTGTGGTAGGCTGTATGTCCATCCCGCCTCTTCATCACAGCATGGCAGGTGTAAAGCATCTTGACAGCTTGCGATAGTGTGGATATATAGTAGAACCTCTGTAAGTTGATCCCAAAGGGACTGTCAGTGTATGGAAGTGGTCACCGTAAGGAACTAGACCTTCCGCATTGATATGTTCATGTCATACGTGTCTGGTTTATGAAAATTAGGTCAACTCAGGGAGGTGGTCAGTGTAGGGAGGTGATCAGTGTAGAGAGGTGGTCAACTATGGAGGTTCTACTGTATATACTTAGGATACAGGCAGGTGGGGAAAAAGCAGTCCTTGCTCCCATGGACCATATATTCCCAGACCTTTGGAGTTGATGATTCTGCTCTCAGCTGTGATCCGTCCTCAAGGACCCTTTGTTCCTTAGAGATAGCCATGGAAGGAGGCTTAGAGGGCATTGAGAGCTTCACAGAGGCTCTCTCCAAAACTTGTAGGTTTGGGCTTTGATTCTGTAAGGGAGCTGTTGTAGCAGCGAGGCCCCTTCTGTTCCTTTGTGCAAAAGAAAGTAGCCTGAGTTTTCTGCCCCCTCTTCATGCCTGTCTTGTCTTCTGTCGCTTCTGAGGGAATGGGAGGTGCTGTTCATTTGGGAGGAGGGAGCGCCTTGAAGGAGTTGCTAAGGGCATTCCACAGTGGCAACACCAGGGAGGTCTAGGAGTATTTCAGTTGGCTTTGGGAGGGATTTGACAGCTCCTCAGAGGTGGTTGGTCTTCCTTCTAAGACACATTCTTATAGCAGAACAGGGCAGCTTTATCCACAGCCTGCTCTGGGTGAGACTCAGGAACCAGATGAGAAGGGAGGCTCCGAGAAGCCTGGTACTTAAGGCTGTAAAGCCAAGACCTATGCCTGAACATGCATGAGCCGTGTAAGTCAGGACAGCAGAATAAGGAGTCGTAGAAATACCACATGTTAATTGTCAGGTTCATAAATACTCAACCAGAGTGAGCCTGTGAAGGCTCTTGCACAAATCAAGGCATGTTCTGGAGAATCTCAGCGCATGTTTTTTGACCCTTAAAAGAATTTATTTTTTTTGTTGGGGAAGGTGGTTTATTTTACAGACATACACATACAATAATGTAAAAATACAGAAAATATTTTATTACTGCCTACCAAGTTTAATTAAAAATAAAAAAAATGCTCACATGAATTGAATGCCTGTTGTGCACCAGGCACCATTTAAGTGCTTTTTTGTAGACGCTCTTTTTATCTCCATCGTACTGATGAGAAAACTGAGGCTCATAGAAGGTAGTACCTAGCCCAGGTTCACACAGCTGGGAAGAAGCCAAGCCGAGCTTGGAACTGAGACAGTGCAACTCCATACTTTGTCCCTTCCAGGCTTTATATTGGAAAGCAAATCTAATTTCCCTGTAATAAATAGATAGGGAAATGATTTGTAAATGATTTCCTGGGCTTGCTGTAAGGAAAAGAAACCCTTTTTTTACTTCCCTGATGAGCAGTTTCATGGAAGGCCCTTGAGAAGGTCAGGTCTTGACACCAGACACAAGTCAGGGTGGGATGGGACAGGTCACAAGAGCTACGGACTGATGAGCCCCTGGTAGTGCTGCTTTAGGTGCTTTTTCTTTGCTTCTCTTGACACCTGGGGGTCCCTGCTGCTTCTCAGATGTGTCCTGTCCAGTCCAGATCTTCACCCACCTGGTTGAAGCTATAATTCCCCTTGAGGCAATCTCTTCCCTTGAGCGCGCTGGCTCCAGCTCAGCTGTGTTCCCTCTGGCGGGAGATGTGGTTCTTCAAGTCTCAGCAGAGAGATAGCAGTTGGAATGTATGAGAAGCTGGTAATTTCCAGCATGCTGAGCAAACAGTTAGATATTTTCAGGGTATTTAGTTTCAGTTTGTGTTGTAATCCAGGATCACAGAGAGTTGCAAATGGCCTGCCTGTGTCCTGCCCCCTAAATATGCTCTGATTTCCCCTGGGTTACTTTCTCTTAAAAATAAAAATTAGATGCTACTTGTTTGAAATACACTTAAAATGTAACATAAAAAGTCCATTTTTTTTTTTTTTTCTGCTTCTCTTTGAAACTTGGGAAGACTTGGCAGTTTGGGCCCGCATTCCTACAGGGTCACTTTGGATAGCAACTCAGTTTTCTACTTCCCTGAAGTCTAATTTGTTCCCATTGCTGTATGCCTGGCTGGAGTTCATGGTCTAAGAAATCTGAAAGGCCTCCTCACTCTTGCCAGCTGCCCAGCTACTATTTGGGTTGAGGCTGGGGCATCATTTTTGTGGTAAACTTACCTCCTGGATGTCCCTCTGCCGGCTCTGCTGTCACCCATAGCATGGCCTTCAGTGTTGCCGATTCTCACTGTGGTTACTGGTTCCAAAACAGCGGCTGCTTGCATTTTTGCTCTGACAGGTCTCTGCATAGGATGTGGGCATGTAGGGTATCCATAGTAGGAAGATGGACCTGGCCTTGAATGGGAGGTGGAGGGTGCCCAACCGAAGGCCAATGGGCTGTTTTTTAGTGATTTTCTGTATGAATTATCTCACATTCAAAAACATGCACCTCCTCTTAGGGATATGATTTTCCAAAGTTCTTCTACCCCTGTTTGGAATCTCAAGTGAGAGAAAGGCAGCCCCTCCCTCACGTTCCTGTGCAGCTGAGTGAGATCTGGGGAATAATAACCTTTTTGAACGTATTGTCTGGGATACGGTGACTGGTTTCTTACTCCACCAACTGAAAAGCAAAGGGAATTTATTTTTTAATGGAATAAATGACTAAGTCTATGCAGCCTTTTAACATTTTAGCTAAGCTTGGTTGTTCATGTTCAGTTCTTAGGATAGAACCTGTCTGTGAAGTGGATCATTAATTAGCCATTCAAACCAAGTCGTCTTAAGAAAATAGGATGCGTGTTTGAGAATCCTGGCAAATGCACCAGGCTATTTTGGTTCCCGTTAAGAAAATAAAGCAACCTTGGAAATTGCTAAAGTTGACTTAAAATAGTCTCTTTCTCTGTTACCCTCCTAGGGCCTGGGTTCCAATAAATAATTGCTACCTCATGTCTAAAGAAATTCCTTTTTCTGTGAAAAAGACGAAAAGCATCTTCAACAGTGCCATGCAGGAGATGGAGGTGTACGTGGAGAACATCCGCAGGAAGTTTGGCGTTTTTAACTACTCTCCATTCAGGACGCCCTACACGCCCAATAGCCAGTACCAAATGCTGCTCGATCCCACCAACCCCAGTGCCGGCACTGCCAAGATAGACAAGCAGGAGAAGATCAAGCTCAACTTTGACATGACGGCGTCCCCCAAAATCCTGATGGGCAAACCCATGCTGAGCGGGGGTACCGGCCGCAGGATTTCTCTGTCCGATATGCCACGTTCCCCCATGAGTACAAACTCTTCGGTGCACACAGGCTCCGACGTGGAGCAGGACACTGAGAAGAAGCCCACATCCAGCCACTTCAGTGCCAGCGAGGAGTCCCTGGACTTCCTGGATAAGAGCACAGGTCAGCCCTGGTGGGGAGGGGTAAAGGGAGGAGGGGACTGATTGGGTACTTGGGTGGTTTCCTCAGGTGTCTGGTCAGTTGGGAACCACAGGGGAGCACATTTTTATAAGTAACCGGATGGGATTCTTGCTATGAGTATTCCCAAGAGGCTTGGGGGCTGGAGATCATTTCTACAAGTGGATAGATATGGCTGCACATCCATCAGAGTTCACTTCAAATGTCCACTGCCTTTTGAATGAATCACAACTTTTCATAACTCTTTTCTCATTCCCCAAATTTTTGTTTTGGTACGACACCTGTAGCAATGGTTACAGCACTAGCCACATGCACTGAGGGTAGCAGGTTTGAACTTGCCCCGGGCCTGCTAAAACAGGTTGACAACTACAACCAAAAAATAGCTGGGCATTGTGGCGGGCGCCTGTAGTACTAGCTACTTGGGAGGCTGAAGCAAGAGAATCCCTTAAGCCCAAGAGTTGGGGGTTGCTGTGAGCTGAGATCCTCTGGCACTCTTTTGAGGGCGACATAGTAAGACTGTCTCAAAAAAAAAGAAGAAAATTGTTTTAATTGAAAGTTTCTTTTTCTACCAAAACAATACATTCGCACCAAATATTCAAATGTTAGTGAAACATAAAAAAACTTGAAAATAGGGTGGTGCTGTGGCTCAGTGAGTCGGGCACCAGGCCCATGTATCAAGAGTGGCAGGTTCAAACCTGGCCCCAGCCTAACTGCAACAAAAAATAGCAGGGCATTGTGACGGGCACCTGTGGTCCCAGCTACTTGGGAGGCTGAGGCAATAGAATCACCTAAGCCCAGGAGTCAGAGGTTGCTGTGATCTGTGACACCATGGCATTCTACCCAGGGTGATAAAGTAAGACTCTGTCTCTTAAAACAAACAAACAAAAAATAAAACAACAACTTGAAAATAATACTGTCGCCCCCAGAGCTATCCCACTCCCTTATTAATCACTTTGGTTTACAATTGTGCTGTGTTTTTGACACAAACTAAGGTGCAGTGGTTAAGAATGTAGAGGTGGCTCGGCACCTGTGGCTCAAGCGGCTAAGGCGCCAGCCAC